AAAAAAAAGGGTATTTATCATGATTTTGCCCTTTGAACAAAAGTCTAGATTATTTTATATAATTGTTTAGTTCAAAAAGGAAAAAATTAGTAGTTGTAATATATTTATATTTATATTTACATATATATTTGCCACAATTAATGAAATATCTATACCGTAAAATATTTTTTAAAAGCTTTTTGATCTAATTGTTGTAAAGCTTGCAAGAATTCATCAGCAAGATCTTGTCGCAACCAAATATTCCTTGTATATTCAAGAAATTCATTGCCTCTCAGTGTATACATAGTTTTAATCATGTTTGAGATTTCGCCTAAAACCTACATTTATTTATTATTTATTTATTTATAGAAAGAGAAAATAGTTACTTTTTTTTTTTTTTGGCAAATCAAACTAATGAAAATAAAAACTTACCACTGATGATTGACCATCAGCAACATCGAATGATTGTTTCATTGGAAGTTCAAAACAAACACGTAATATATGTTCATACATAAAATGTTCAAACCCAGGTAAAGGTTGAGATTCTAAAGTTCTAGAAGAAGTACCATTTGAAGTAGAAGGACTGTTGGCGGTTGTAGTAGTAATTGTTGGTGATGAACAAATACCCCATAAGCTTATAGCCCTTGATAAAATGTTAAAAGAAATCTTAATAGAACTAATTTCTGATGTATCACTAGCATAATGAATTACACTTTGAAGTATATTTTCTAAATTTGGTTTATTCACTTTTTAAAAAAAATAAATAAAATAAAAATAAAATAATATTAATTAATAATGTTTAACTTCTATAATCGATAAATAAATAAATAAATAATATTTACATTCGCTTATTAAAACTCGATCCATTCCACCATTTAATAATCCTAAGATGAAATTTAAATAGGCCCTTCGAAGGCTCGCAAATAAAATAGCTTCATCAGTTCCAGATGGTGTTTGATTTAAAACAAGAAAAACTTTTCTGAACAATGGATTAATTAATTCATTTAAAATATCAAAAATAACTGGCTAAATAAAATAAAATAATTAAATTATATAAGTTGAAATAATAATGGTGATGATGATGATAATGATAGAAAAACAATACTTTGAATTTATGTGAGATTAATCCAATAAATGGTAGGAAATCTACAAGTTCTGAAATTCCACTTTCATTCAACAATCCGTCAATTAAAGGTGGAAGATATGGCAATATTTCTATACCAAGGACATTCACAAGCCTTGCAAAAGCATATCTTGCCTTTATTTTTCAAATATAAGTATTATATTATATATAGGTTTTAGGTTGTCAATAAAAAAATCAGAAATAATTATTAAGCAAAAACTTACAGAATCTCGAATAATTTCAAAATTACTAAGAGTTTTCAAAACAACTAAAATAGCTTCAGTTGTTTGTTTCATAAAATCAATCCAAGGGACCGTTTGTGCCACACCTTTTGACGCCTCAGGAAATCCTAAAATTCAACAAATAAATATTTTAATTTATCAATTTTATCGAAAAAAATAAATTGTAAAATATTATACACTAACCTTTTGCTATGCTGCCAATTGCCATCATTAAATGATGTATTTGGATAATTGTACGCACATCTTTTGAACCTGTTTCAAGGTTTTGCTGTAATTCAGCAAGTAAAGGACCAACGATAGCCTGTCAAAAAATAATATAAAAAGTAAGAAAAAATATTTATAAAATAAAAAATTGCAGAATTTTAAATAAATACCTTTAAATATTCCATTTGAGTTTCAATAGGAACAGAATCAATTGTAATGAGTATTCCAACGGTTTCAAATAAATATAATTGATTAGTAAATGTATTATCCATAGCCTCTTCTTTAGCTAATAAAATTTCGCCAGCTGCATCAGTTATAGCTGGGTCTAATTGAATTATTAATAAATCCTAATTTGTTATTAAAAAAATAAAAAAAAAATTAGTAAATATAATAAATATAAATATACATGTATTTAAAATTGTTTACCTGAATACTACTCAAAACTGTTTCCACATAATTACTCATTTTCGATTTGAGTGATTTAACAAATTTATAGAAAAGATACCAAGATCTGGAACGAATTTGTAAGTTAATACTATGTAAACCACGCGTATCAATAAATGCTTCTAAAACTATTGGAATATATTCGGGTTGAACTTCAAAGAATTGATAGTAACGAACAACAATTTCAAAAAAAATCAAAGCGGTTGATGGATGTGGATATGTAAAAACGTCTAAAATAGGAATTTATAAATAAAATAAATATATAAAATTTACACAAGTTTGAGATTGATAAAACATTAAAATTGACTTTTTTTACTTACTACACTGAAACATTTTAAGAATCATTTCACCTAAAGGAGACAAAGCAACAACTTCATTGTTTTGTTTTAACACAAATGACATTGATCCTTTAAGAGCCTCGCCATATAAAAGTAACACGTGTAAGCTCAACTCTAAGTCTCTCCAATCAAACTCGTTACCAATTTTTTGATAATTTTCAAAAGTATTAATTATGGCTGAATGAACAAATGTAGTAAATATTTGCTCATCTATATTATGAATTACATCAAAAAATTGTTTCAGGAACTGTAATAAATAAAAAGTCAGCGAAAATTTTTAAAGGATAAATATAATAATAAATTCGTAAATATTTAAAAATCGAATGAAAATTAATCATGTACTTTTCGCATTTCTAAAAATTCGGCTTCTTCCTCAGCTTCTTCATCCGTTCCATTC